ATATATCCCTTTTTTTTTTTTTGTGTGTGTTTTTTTCCATTGTTGGAAAACATTTTATTGCCTTTTACGTTTAGCTTGATGGACTAGGAAATATTTCAGTTTACTAATTGCTGGAATAATGAGATCAAAGATTTTGGGGGAAATATTTTAAATTGCATTCTTCAAATACAGAAGCTTACTATGCCTATGCCCTTAACACAATTTGGGAAAGCTCAGATGATGATGTCAGAGCCTTTTTTGTTGTGGCTTAGTGTGCAACATTTGAGATAAATAGAGACACACCTGTGGACGTATTTTAAAATACCTGCTTCTTTGTGTGACCTTATGGAAAAATCATAAAGAATCATTGACGATGTCAGGAAGTGAACTGTGAACCTCCACAAATCTACTTCATTGTTAAATATTATTTCCAGATGCGTGAAGATGCCACATTCATCTGTTCAAGCTATTATAAGCAAATATAAGCAACTCGGGAATGTCCAGGCTTCATAATGCTCAAAAAGAAGAGGTAAACATGTCCAAGAGGTAAACATGTTTTGGTGTGAAATATCAACCCTTCTACAAACACTGATAAGAAAGATTCATTATTCAGTTGTGTACAGAAATGTAAGCAAAATGCCACTCAGCGAAGGAGACATTAGCCCATGGATCTACAAACTGTGGCTATGGAGCCGCAGTGACTCTTTGGACCTTTGACAATGGGCCTTCATAGCCTCTGCTAAAATGTTAAAGGAACCAGCTGATGTTTTAAATATCAAATCGAATCTATTTTTATTTGTTTAACACCTTTCAGACCCAAGGCATTTCAAAGTGCTTTACATCATAAAAACACAAAGTCATAGAATGCACAGTCAACAACTTTTTGCACAAATATAGATATAATAACAAATGCAGATTTTTAAGAAATTTTCTTGTTGTCCTGCAATATTTGTGTTGAATTTCAACTAAGAATGACACTAAAAGTGCCAGCAATAGACTTTTGCCTCTGATTTTCTTGTCATGAGGTTAGCAGAACTGAAAGGTCTGTGAGATTAAAGAGATCTATAAACTTGATCCAGTTACTACACCAGTTCTGTAAGAAAGCACGAGGAAAAAAGATAAAAGAATAGAAAAGCAAAACGAATCGACAATTTTCACCAAACGCGAAGGGAATTAAAGATGTGAATCTCCCCTCAAAAAAATTTAAAATTATTTTGCTCATTATTTTGGCATTTTGCAAATAGAAATACTGGTGGTTATCCTAAAGAAATAAACTAAAACAAAAAGAGTTTATTTCAATTTCATACCAGATAGAAATGAATAAAGGTTCTCATTTCACTTGATGTAAATATATGGTTTCAACTCAATATTTACAAAATATAACTTAATGCAGAAAATCTTTCATATCAGTTGTGTAGAGTGTCACTGATGTGGACGGAAATTTTTAAATTACCAACATCAACTGCACTACAATTTACCCTTTCATTGTTATTTAATGCATTTTGCATTACTTAAAGTAAATCTATACATTTTTTCTAGATGTGTATTTTAGTAAAACAGAACATCAACACATTTACAGGAGTTTGACAGGAATGAGTGGCATATTTTTTGCATCAAGGTGAAATAGAATTAAAACAGACTATTTCTTACACAAATATGCTTCACTCAACTTCCAGAACACAGTATTGCATAAAAACTGTATTTTAAATTCCAGTGTGCCACTGAGGTTCAGCTGCTGCATTTAAACCTGGGCTGAAATAAAGCAACATGTGTTTTATTTTAGCCAGGCAGATGTACGAGAAGTTATAAAATGTCTCCATCTAGTGGTTGAACACATTCAAAACATTTGTATTCTCATTTTTAATAAGGCTCGTTTTCACCTCTCATTAAGGTGCAGGAGTCATGCATAAGAATGGTCACATCTCAGTGTGACAGTCATCTATTTTTTCAAAGATTTCCCACCATTTGTGTCCGAAAAGTGTGGTGGAAATTTGCATCTATCGTCAGAGAGAAATCACTGAACTCCCTTCTGTCTCTCCATCTGCATACAATTACACGCTATAAAATATTCCACAGAATGCAGAGATATTTCCCAGAGGAAACATTACTCTAGACCATACTGAGCTACATGTTGATCATATAACTTTAGAAGTTAATAAGTATGGTTTATTCTCTATTGTGAAACACCCTAGCTGTGTCTATAAACATAAAAGCTTTGAAAACATTTATTTTCCCTGTGAGGAAAATAACCAAATGTCACAGACAAATTTAATCTCTGACTTTGAGTGAAGTGCTGTTAAATGCCAAAATGGTTTCTTGGAAAACTCTCTCAGCACCTAATTTAGCAGAACTCTCACCCCATCGCTCCTTGGGTAGCTCTCCCATTTTCACCACCTGAGGGAAGCAGTAAGGACAAGGATCGGTTCAATGGCAGGTCACCTTCTAATTGCTCAGCAAAAGATGTTTCACTCGTTGTTCCCATCTAGATGGAACAGACACACAATGCGATGAGAACATATTTACAGATTTCTCTTTCTTTGTTGCTTTATTACACTTAGACATTTCAGATTGTCATAAAAAGTAAATATGAAGAAATGTAATGTGTGATTGCTAAATATATCATTTTTAAGGGAAAAATGAAGATATCCAACCTCACCCCTGAGAAAAAAGCATTGTAAACCAATAATCAATCAGGTTTTTAAAAGTAATATATCTCTTAGTCTAGAAAAGAGTAACAAAGTAGTTTCTCAGATTTGAGACTCCAGCAAACAATGGAAATATTACCTACATACAGAGGAAATGTGAAACAGTGGTGGACCTTTCTAGGAGTGGCCCAAGGAGTATCAGAACAACTCAAACAGGAGGTCAGGAGAAAAAACATTGAAAGCGTGATAGGATTCATGTATCTCAATTGAGGTGAATTCCTGTTTATGACTCAATAAACAGGAGTCAATAATAAAAGACTGGATCAAAATAGCATCTTTAGTAAAGTTTCAAGGCCAAAACAAGTTATTACCAAGAAGAACACAAAGTCTCATCTCACATTTGCCAAAAAATAAATTGACAACCCCAATTTGTTCCTCCAAAAGGTGATGTTCATCCACCTTTTGGAGGTGTTCATCCCATTATGTCAGCCATAAGCTAGCAGTATTTCAGGAAAAAGAACATTGGTCAGACATGGTGAAGGTCTGGGACTTTGTTTCTGGATGACTTGCAATAGTTCATGTAACCATGAATTTAGCTCTCTATCAGTTTGCTATAGAGGAGATTCATGAAATTACATAGGAGTAAAGAAGAATGTCTGTATTAGTTTGTGATTTTAAATTGAGCAAACACAGCATTTTTTTCTCAATTTTACTGAAGGAAACAATTCACATTCTTGGGATATTGTGAAGACCTGATTGCATACACAATGCTATGAGAATAAATAAGTGTTGTTTTATAAGAGCAGTAATGTGAATATAAGCTAATCACTTCAAACCTTTTAATCTTGTTTGCTTAGGGTGAACATTGTGTATTTAGATGGCATGAACTGAAACATTTAAATTAACACAGTGCTTAATTTTGAACAAAAAATATTTTTTAAGTGTACAGGTGGTGAGAGGAGTGCAGCGTTGACGCCTGGGTTTAGGTTCATAGTTTTAATTACAAATCTGTGCAGAATGATGAAAGACTTGTGGGACTTTTCTCATTTCAAGCCCTCAGTTTGAAATATGAGCTTGTCTCACGGATGCAGCGAGTATATTTGCAAACACAGCGCTATTCCAAAGACCGCTTAAACCGAGGTTTAAAGTCGAAATGTAATTTACAGCAAACAGCAAAACTAATTAAACCACAATGTCATTTTTAGTTGAATTTAACAAAATTCCTAGAAGAATGAATTCAATAGGAAGGAGATTTATGAGTATTTGACTACAAATCAGCTAAAGCTGTAATGAAAAGTCCACAATCAATAGAAATCAGTAATGCATGAAGAACTTCTTTGAATTCTCGTTATTTCAAATCACCAGGGCATTGATAATTTCTTATACAGCAGAAAAGAAGGAGTGATCTGTTTTATTGAGACCTCAGACCTGGTTTGCACTTTTTGCCTCTTTGACAACTCTTGTATTCTCAGTTTTACTTCACCCTAGACTCCATTCACTAACTCTTCACTTGCCCTGTTTCCAACTATTACTGTCACTGTCATTGCTCACCTCATTGTCTCTGCTGTGCACATATCACATTGTACATTAAGCTCCCTGACAGAATGTCTTAGTGCATCAACTATTGGAGTTTTGACTCTATATCTCGCCGTCATAAACTCTCCTTGCCAAGATCCTTTAGATTATGTGAGATTTTCATTTGAAGTCTCTAAAGGTGTTGTAGTTCAGAAGAATAATAGCTTTTATCACTCTTAAAAATACAGAATCACCTGTTGCTATACAATATATGATTATTTGTTTTTATTTTTTATTACTCTAAGGAAGTGGATTCCATGTATTTGTTTGGGCTAACAACTCCCTACAGTTATAGAAATGCTTATAACTGCCTATATTAGGTATTTTATGCATTTACCTAATGCATAAAATACCTTAATATTCATTAGGTTCTAAAATTCTAGTGTAGTGATAAAGTTGTTTAAAAAAGAGTCTAAAGAATTAGAAACTATATTTTATTTACAACATCCAATAACACAGGCATTTTTTATGCAATGATCCAGGTTTTTTCAAAAAAAAAAAAAAAAGCTCTAATCTTGGTTGTGTTTTCGCATTTGCGTTTTAAAAGATGTCTTAAATTCTATTGCGTGGTGGGAAGGAAAAAAACATCAAGTAAAATAAAAATGTAGAGGAAACATAAAGCATGGTTTTCGGTTAGGCTAAATATTACAAGCAGAGAATGTAAAAATAAATAAATAAATAAAAAATACAGTTAGATTTACAAACCAGTATTTTTAGCATGAATTGTGGTTCATAGAGTAAAGTGTTATAATACTGCTTTGCTTCAGTTTAATCTTAACATTTACGACGGTACCTGAACGCATCACTTTCTCCAGCACGGCTGTCATGGCGCTGACGAGGCCGAGGACTTCTGCGGCGTCAAACTTTAATTTCGGCTCGATTTGGAATATCAGCTCTTATATTTGCTCTCTAAAATCTTCTTTCCTCGACGAGTGCACGCTTTGGTGAGTTACCTAACAACATGACTGCCCCGTTTAGTTATTTGGCCGACTGTTTGATTTTAGCTTGAACGTTGTGCCTAACCGAAAGGTCTGCTTAATTTAGCTAAAATACTTTTATGCTGCCTGTTGGTGTCGGACTGGTGAAGTGCGGGGTTTTACTTTGTTGATAAACAGCTTTATATGGATGCGTATTAATAACAAAACTATGATGAAATAAGAATCAACAGATTAAAGCAGAGTGCCACATGTTTAGCTTTCGTGTAACTTATTTTGTTTGTTATCTTTTCTTGACACATCTGCAGATAGTTCCTAACTCGGAGCTGTACACAGTGCAGTTTAATCGGATGTTTCACATTTAAATATTAGACTATATGTGGGTTATTGCTCTGTCCATTGTTCACATGCTGAATATTGGAAGAGTTATTTGGTTCCTTCTGATTTCTCCTCTTCTTATTGGAGTAAACTGCTATTTTTTAGTATTCGTTCAGTGCCTGTGGTTGGTAAAAATCAGCTTAACTAAAAAAATTCACAAACAGAAATCACACATTGTCACAAGTCACATCTTCTAAGTAAGAGTTAGTGTGGACGGTGATGCTGTAGACAGTAAGAATCTCCAGTAGCAGTCAGTCTTGCAACAAATCTAAAACGGCCTCTGACTACAAACACTGTTTCTCTATGAACGTTTCAAGACTGACATATGCTTAGAGATCAATACCCGGGCAATAAAGATGATATTCCTCAGAAACATGTTTTAGATAAAACTGCCAGCTAATCCACATCATTTGCTTTTGCCACTCCTGTCATTCCGGTTGTTATTGTGATTTGATATGTTGTGGAATTCCATTTAAGTGGATCCTACTGAAAGATGTATAGCATTTCTGCAGAGCACAATGAAGCATCAGGCAATGTGATTTGATATGTCAGTACAAATGTGGACATTATTGTTATAAGTAGCATACTTGTAATGCATCCTTATAGCTTTTTTCTTTTTGTAACTATTAAGGAGAGAGAAACAGTGTTTGTCTGTAAAACTCTTCAAAGCAATTGAAAAGCCCCAGAATTAAATAACTAGAAGAACCATATTATCAAGGGATCGATTACATGACTGCGTAATATAATGGGTTAAAATAAAACCACGCTTTTTAGATCGATAATCACGACTCCGACAAAATATCAAGATCACATCTGGTCTGTTGTTGTCTCACTGTTATGTCTGTTAGGTTTGTGTTGGCCTTCCACAGATGAGAGATGGGAATGAGGTGCGTGTGTTAGGTTGCCTTTTTAAGGGCAGGAGAGGCTCAGCTGGGGAGGACTGTGGGTTCATGTGTCTCCACTTGGATGGTTACATTGGGCTCAGCAGCTGTCTTCACTCTCACAATCCTTAATCAAAAAGCACTGATGCAGAATGAGTTGATTGCCATAGAGCTCCTTTTTCCCAGACAGGAGGAAGGTGGGGGGATAGGGTTGTAGTGAAATCAGTTCACTTCCTAAGGAAGATGTTTGCACTAGTTTCTGTTCAGATCAGGAGTGTCCAAGCTCAAAATAAAAGAATTGGTGAAAACAATGTACTCTTTTACTTCGAGTTCAAAATAGTAGTTATGAAAATCTCATTAGAATGTTAGGGCTGGACCTGAACAGGAAACTTGTTATTGTGACACCATTTCTGAATATTCTGATGATTACATCAATGATCCTACATTGTTCTGATTCTTCTTCTTTTTTTCCTTCTTCTAAATGATCCTAATTGCAATTGGATCTTTGGAATTTCACAATTTTCTGTCAGCTTCAGCATCTCAGCCACTAAAATTCGACATATAGTGAGCAGCTTGTCCATACATTTAGCCAAATAAATTGGCTTACAGAATGTGTTGCATCCATGTAATTTTATGCAGTTGCGATATTACAGATATCAAGGCTAGCTTAGCAATATGGGTGACATCTACTAACTCACTCACTCTTTGGTTTTCTAACAACAAATTGTTGTGTAACAGGTGCATCAATAGTTTCAGGTTTCACTATTGTCCCTCTTATCTGCTTAAAAGTAATAATAATAATAAAAAAAACAATTTTGTGGAGTGAAGGGAGAAAATAAGTATAACAGCTGATGGGGAAACTGGATAAAAGAATGGTCACATCACTTGTTTGTCAGTATTTCAGATAACAAGAACAACAACAAAAAAAATGTTACCTCCATTGGGGAAAAATGGTCTCATCCAAATATTTATGTAGAATATATTTGTTTGTCATTACAAAGTTATGCCAGCAGGGGGAAGACACGGTACTTAAATCTTCACATACATTGAGTCTGTTTTTGACATTGAGTCTGTTTTTGATTTACTATGTGCACATCCACACAGCAGCTTCCATATAAACATTCCCCACATCCTCCCACCTCTCTGATGAATCAGACTCCTGAAGGACACAAAGTTCCAGGAAGCATTGTGCTTATTTAAATTTTCTAGAAAAGGTGATGCGGCACGTTTTGTGTCCAAGTTTCAGAGCTGATTCAGATGTGTTCTGTACTTAATGTTGTACAACATCAGACCATAACAGACTGAAGTAAAATAATAATTTAACACATTCAGATTATAGTTGGTGATGTTTTCAAGTTGTTCCTGGAGAAATTGTCAGGCAAGTTTATTTGTATGGCACATTTCAGCTACAAGGCAATTCAAATTTTTTTACATTATGAAAATATAATTTATTAACTAAGTATGAAACAGCAAAAAACATTACATTTTGTCAGATGGCATCAACAAAATTATCAAGCAAATATGTATCAAATATATAGATCGATGTTCCAGTTATTGCTGGATTTCAGATGACGTAGCACTGATACCCAATGCAGATGGAGGGCAGGAAGTAAATGGAGCCTATTTATTTTTGTTGATCCAAAACCAAAATGCCTAAAGTCTGTGTCCTGTACAGATGTTCCAACCATTCTAATAGAGAGAAAGATAAACATTATTTTTGTGTTTCGAAGTTAGTCGGTCACAAGGGAGTTAATTTAAAAAAAAAAACTTGCTGAAAAAAGAGGAGAAAAGTGGATCAACAATCTACAGCTTAAAACAGGAGGTGCGGAAACTAACAATGCCAGAGTTTGCAGCGCTCATTTTCTAACATGTAACGATGGCAATGTTTAAATTGTATTTTCAGATGTTTCATTGGACAGTTTCTTAGAAAGCTGGCTCAGTGCCGAGTCCTGGACAGAAAATATGTTAATCAATGGGATTTTCATGCTAAAAAAAAGCTAAATAAATATAACCCACACACAGTCATTGTGAGCAGTGACTTTCCCATGTCTTTTATCTTCCTAGTTTTTGGTAGAAGCTTTCATAACATTGTCCTCTGAGTAGATATTACCTTTTATCCTTTTGAAGAATATTAATATTTGGGTTTTCCATTTATTTGTATCTCCTCTTTGGGTTATTGGGCTCTGTTTACCTTCAGGAGAGAAGATTGATCCCCTGCACAGATCTTTGGACTGCTGCATTGTTGAACCCTGGTGTGGAATGTGCGCTGTCGTTCAGCCAGAGGACGGTGGGCTTTACAACAACCTTCATACAAATCTCTGTAAACAGACACTTGTGTATTTTAAGAAGTTATCTTCTCCTAAGATGACTCAGAGAAGGTTGTCATCAGTAGTTTTGTTGAAGTGATTTGACTTAGCTGAAATGTGAATGTCAGAATAAAATGTGTTTCTCATAAGGCTGACAGTTTGAATTTCATGGTTGTCAAATGAAGTCTGGAGTGACTCTATTGTTCCTAGAAGAACCTGGTTTTTGTTTTCATATAAAACCAAAGCTGGTGATCGTGTTGCCTTACTTGTAAGTTCAGAGCAAATGTATGTTTTGCTAAGAGATTGCTGAAAATTCAAACAGGAAGCAAACCCACAGGTGGTGAGGAGGCCAAGGCTCTACTGGCAATTCCCATAGAAACTCCTTACTCACTCTGAGTGACCACAGAGACATACCAGAGGTTGTGGTGGGGGGTGTCTGACTGTGAGGTGTTCTTCCTAAAATCCAACCCCCACTCCCGTCTGGAAATGGATACTGTGGGCGTATTTATAGCTGCAGACCACAAGCGAGCTCTTTCTTAAACACGTCGAAGGAGCTGGTCGCATTCGTCAGAGACGGACTGAGCTTCGCTGTTGTGTTCTCTTGACGGTTTTACTTTTTCACTTGTGTAACCAGCCTGAAAGGGCTTATCAGGTAGGAAAACAAACTGAAAAAGTTTTTAACTATTGTTACTATGGCTTTCATAGTTTTGTCTGTTTTGCCATTACATCAAGACAATTAAAAATGCTTTACCGAAGTAATTTTTTCTTCATGTAAAAATTCATACGTTCTTAATGAATAATTTTAAATGTAATAGCATTTGATGAAAAATGTTTGACACAGCCTATGAAAAAATGCTACTTTGACTCTGCAATAATGATCCTTTCAGGGTTCATACTTCAACCACCACTCATCTTTGATTTGTAACTACAGTTAGAAACTTTTTGTTTTAATTTGAAAGCAACTGTTAAAATCCTTTTTGGTTTAGTAATCTTGTTTGGCAAGTTTTTATGGTTTAATTATTACATAAGGAAACATTTTGGAACTTGACTGATGAGGTAGGAATTTGTAGCAGAATTACTGTTCAGCTCACCTGATGCTTAGCAAGTACTTTTGATGTCTATTCCAGATGAAATCCTCATTCTGAACTTGACCACCAGTGAGACACAGTGAGAGGAAAGATGGAGAAACCAGTTCTCCAGACGCAGCCGTCCACCCTACCTTTTTTTGACTCTTCGCACGCCTTCAACCTCCTGAGAGGAATCCATGAGCTTCGAGCTGAGCGGAAGTTTTTCGATGTGACTTTATGTGCCGAGGGGCGGGAGTTCCACTGCCACCGCACTGTGTTGGCTGCTGCCAGCACCTACTTCCGTGCCATGTTCACCGGGACGTTGAGGGAAAGCGTAATGGACAGAGTGGTTCTACACGAGGTGTCAGCTGAGCTTCTCGGCTTACTGGTGGACTTTTGCTACACGGGTCGGGTCACGGTCACTCAGGACAACGTGGACCTTCTGCTGAAGACGGCCGATTTGTTCCAGTTCCCCTCGGTGAAAGAGGCCTGCTGTGCGTTTCTGGAGCAGCGTCTGGATGTCTCCAACTGCTTAGAAATACAAGACTTTGCAGAGGCTTACGCTTGCAGGGAGCTGGCGACTAGTGCACGCCGCTTTGTCCTAAAAAACATAATGGAGTTGGCGAAAGGAACAGACTTTGAGCGGTTGCCATGGAAGCGTCTATTAGAGTTTGTGTCTGACGACGAGCTTTGCGTGGATAAGGAGGAGACGGTCTACCAAATCGCAGTGCGTTGGGTAAAGGCTGATCTGCAGCGACGGCTGCATTACTGGCCCGAACTCCTCCAGCAGGTCCGCCTCCCATTCGTCAGGCGGTTCTTCCTCCTGGCCCACGTGGAAAGTGACCCGCTTGTCTACCTGTCACCCACCTGCCTCCGCATGGTGAACGAAGCCCGCAGCTTCCAGTCCTGTGAATACGACCGCCACGACAGGTCGTGCCACCGCATGCGGCCTCGCCCCTCTACGGGATTGGCGGAAATCCTGGTGGTGGTCGGAGGCTGTGACCAGGACTGCGATGAACTGGTCACTGTGGACTGTTACAATCCTCAGACTGGACAGTGGCGCTACCTGGCCGAATTCCCCGACCACCTTGGAGGAGGTTACAGCATAGCAGCCCTCGGAAATGATATGTATGTCACAGGTAAGAAACCCAAACGAACCTTCAGCAGAGAGCTCTGATCTAGTTCTGACTGTGTTATGTTAAGGGCTCATTTTTTTAAATCCCTGGGTAAATTAAGCAAATATTTCAGTTCTCAGTTAAATCCAATATCCCACATATTTGATATGTATTTTGGTGTGCATTCACACCAGCCATGGTTAGTCTGTTTCAGTCTCTCAAGTTTGTTTCCAGAGATTATTTAATGCAAAAACGCAAAACCTAAAAACCTAGGTCTCAGTTTGGTTGGAATGCAAATGTAAACGCAGTGCGAACCGGAGACTGCTCCAAAAGTAGGAAGTGGAATAGCGCAGGGCATTCTGGGTAAATACAACCAAAAGCATAAATGGAAGAAATAAATTGTGATCTTTTACCAAAGACAAAAAAGAATCCTACAACCACTGAAATCTGACCCTACTCCATTTTTGTTTATATTTGGTGAAGAAGGAAGTTGCGTTCCTGGTCTTCTTCAGAGGTTTTTGTGTCTTTTCCTTTAGTGATTTTTGGTACAGCGCCACCACAAAGGAAAAAGTGGGGGAACACGTTTTTCAAAGGTTTTGCTTCTTTTGAGACAGAAAATGTAACAATTGTTGCAATTTTTGTCCTCAGTTGATCTGAGTCTACTGGACTATCAGGTGATTTCCATTTCTGTTCCTTCATTTTTTCAAAAGGCCTCTAGAATATAAATTATCAACATCCTCCTTTACTATTCTGTGCCTGAGGAGGGCAAGTGAGGCAATGCAGATGCTATCAGGACAGCTGGGCTATCCTTGTCATCGTTATTAGCACTATAAAGGGTTCTCTATGCCGTATGTTTGATACGACACAGAGAAGTTAACTGTGTATATTAGAGATCTGGTGTCAGATATTCTACTCTGATCTCCTGGCTCCTGAAGAGGATTTATGATGATGCACTGATTAAGCAGCATTAGCTTATAACATCATTTATAGAAATAACAGCAACGCATGATTAGATAACATTGACGTGCCCAGTTTTATTACATTTGGTTCTTTCTTACAGATGTACACTGGTGCTCAAAATTTAACACTCTTCTGTTTTTATGAGGTAAAATGATTACAAATCATTTCCCAGATTTAATTTCATGCAGATTCTATAGAATCGGAGTGAAAAGCAAACCAATTTATTAAACAAAAATGTACCAGATCTTGGGTATACATCTACCATTTGCTGCAGGGAATCAGAAATAATAAGCTTTTTGATGATTGAGTATGATTTTTGATGATTATGATTATTCTGATTGCCATTACCATGTACTGATATTACTATTTAAAGCCATTACATTTTCAAATTATTTGATGACTTATTTTCAGTCAGATTCTATTTTTACAACATATTTTTGTCTGTTTTACAGACATAGAAGTGCACTTCATGAATCTATTCAACTGCCACATCAGTCACTTAAATACAGCTCATGAATTTAACTAACGCCTCTTTCATCTGAACTGGTTTAAATGGACAGTCAAACATACTCACTGACTTTTTCTGAATAAAACTGAAATTAAATAGCTGCTGAACTGGTTAAAAATGTTTTTAATGTCCAGAAAAGTATGGAAAAAAGAATAAGGCTATGTCTACGGAAGGACTTAATGTCTAATACACAACATGCAGTTACAGTGGCATATCAATATCCTTTTTCTGAATTTGAAGAAAATCCACCTTATTATTCTGGCATTAAGGAGGTAAAAATAATTTTAGTAAATCCTAATGGAAAAGAAGACACTTTGGAAAAAAAATGTCTTTTAGTAGAGAAAATTATTTCAACTGTACAGAGGTGGACTAGACAAGAGATTTACAAACTACTCATTTAAAATCTGCATCTGTGTAATATGTCTTCACATAACTCAATTAAAAACACATTTTGAAAGAAGGTTGACAAAGAATTTATTGCCTCTGTAGAGAAACACATTAAAGTCCATCTGTAGAGCTGTTTTAGTTGCAGCTGAGTATTGTGGCTTTTTAAGTTAGTGGAGTCTATGTTTAGACTTGTGAAATATGGAATAGGGGGGTGTTGAACAGATGTCTGTCGATCTCATTTGTTCAAGGAGAGATTATGAGTTTACATTTGGTTCATTTTTATTTGTGCTTTGCAATGTCTCTTAAGTTTATGGTGTTATTCTTGTTGAAGACACCAAACTTGTAGAGAATTGTCTGCAAACTGAAGATTCATGTCTGGGTGTGATTTACTCTCTGAGTTCCCAACACTATCAATACAACTTTTGTTGGGTTATCTATTTAGATAAATTATTATTCAGCTCAGGATGTTGGTGAAATTATGAGCTAAAAATGCTCATATTCTTGTCAAGTTTATTTGCATAGGATTATTCATTTCAAAAGTAATTTACAGTAAGCCTGCAATAACCAATTAATTAGTCGCATGATAAATTAAAATAAGGTAAATAATTTCCATTCTGATGATTAATATTTATTTATATGAAGAATTTTGTTTTCAGAGACATTATAATCCATTATATTTATTGTTTTTGGTAATTTCTCTGTAAAATACGTTGATTGATGTTCCATTTACTTACAAGTCGTTTTTTAGCTTTGATTTAAAGAATGTCAGTGTTTCAGCATTTCTGCAGTTATCTGGAAGTTTGTTCCAGATTGTTGGTGCGTGGAAGCTGAAAGCTGCTTCTCCATGTTTCTCCAGGAGGTTCTGACGGCTCCCGCCTGTACGACGGCGTGTGGCGCTACAAGTCCAGTGTAAACGAGTGGACGGAGGTGTCGCCCATGCTGAAGGCCCGCGAGTACCATAGCTCGTGCGTGCTGAAAGGCCAGCTGTACGTGGTGGCGTCAGACAGCACCGAGCGCTACGACCAGGCTCTGGACTGCTGGGAGGCCTTGCCGGGCATGCTGCACGCCATGGACAACTGCTCCACGACGGCGTGCAACGGCCGCCTGTACGCCATAGGTTCTCTGACCGGCGAGGAAACCATGGCCATCCAGAGCTACGACGCCGACACCAACCGCTGGACCATGGTCAACTGTGGACAGCTGCCTCCCTGGTCCTTCACTCCCAAAACAGTGACCCTCAATGGCCTCATTTACTTTGTTAGGTGAGGGATCTCTTACCGTATATTTTGTTACTATGGTAACAATTTAGACAGGCTAGCCTTTGGTTTATTTATTTCACTCAAAAGGTTTTTCTTTCATGTGCTTTTTAAGTGTAAATAAACAGCTCAAGCTATTTGTAAAGATTATTATGAGATGGCAACTTGTTCTTCTGTGACTTTAACTAATTTGCTTCTTGAACATCTATCTCATCACCAATATGGATAAAATCATTAATTTACTGAAAGAACAATGTAGTCAGAGCAATTTTAAGTCAAAACTGTACAAAAAATGTTTTTTGCATTTAAAATATATAAAAATAAACTTTACTTGTAAATCTGTTCACAAGTGGCAGTTTTAGCTTCACCTGTTTCAAATTCTGTAAAAATGTTTCTTATTAAGCACCTTCTGCTTTTTTAATCCCATAATTGTCAACAGATAATCCTTGCATTGTATTGATGTTAACATATTATGGTAGTGTATTTTAGGCAATAGAATATTTTTAAAAATGAAGAAAACTACCTTGATTTACTACTTTGTTAATACTAATGATTGTGATGATACACCATGGTCTAAGTTTAAAGAATGTGAAATCTTTTGTTCATTTTGGCTTGATCTAACAGAAAAAAATCTCAATTTCCTCTAATATTTCCACAGAATTTGGGTGGGGATGTGTTTATGTTTAAAATGGCTGAATATTAATCAATAGAAGATTTACCTTCATCAGAGCTTCTGATATATATGACGCATCGGGTATTTGGCCAGTAACAACCTGTCTCTATTTGCAGGGATGACTCGGCGGAGGTTGATGTTTACAATCCACAAAAGAACGAGTGGGACAAAATTAGCCCCATGAACCAGGTTTGTATTTCACATCAGATGCTTGTGTGCTGCCCTGCTTTAATAATAGTCTTCTGTGACCTCTAGTGTTGTACAGTAAACAGGTTGGACACACAGAACAGAACGAGATCAATAAAAACAAGCAGGAATTGATGCTCCCAGCGGTGCAGTTTGTCTGTAATGGGTTTATTGTCCAAACACAGCAGAAGTTCTATAAATACTGAAGAAAAGGAAACTTTGCAACACATTGGTACACAAAATAAAGACGCCAGCAAGCTGATTCGACTTTGTATTTGTCAGGTCCACGTCGGAGGCAGCGTGGCAGTCCTGGGCGGTAAGCTGTTCGTATCCGGCGGTTACGACAACACGTTCGAGCTGTCGGACGTCGTGGAGGCGTACGACCCGACAAACCGTGCCTGGACGGTGGCCGGACGGCTCCCCCAGCGGACCTTCTGGCACGGCAGCGTCAGCATTTTCCGCCAGTTCATGCCGCTGGTGGCCAGCTCGTTTGAACCCACCGACACACCCGAGTCCAACGCCATACACCTCCACCGACACCAGCGGCACCAAGCGCTCCACAACCTCAACAACAATCTGAACCAGAACCAGGATGTAAACCCAGCGCATTGATGCGGTCATGCATGCTCACCGTGTTCTCTCTTTGCAAAAGTATTAAATCTTAGAGTATTTTGAGTTTAGTTTTTAGTGCAAATATTTTATTACACGTGAAGTAAGACAAAACTAACTTACAAGTATAACCTTTCAGCAAGATATGACTTTTAAGTAAATTATTTCTTAATATTGATGATAGAAATAATCTGCTGGTGGAACTCGTATGTTTTCATCCATAGTAACGAATTGCTGACTAAGCTCTTATTCAAATTAAAGTACACTTTAATAATCCCAAAGGGAAATATTGTAACTCATATAAATTCAAAATTCTTTATAACAGGCTGAAAATTTACTTCCAAGTTAGTTTAGTCAGTGCAAATACCTTAGAATACGAAATCAAAAAGATGTTTCGGAAGTTTACCTCATTGCTGCAAGGATTGGTGGGAAATCTCGATTGGGAATGATGTAATTGCTTGGTATTGATTAGATATGATGTGTTGCTGCTCAATAACTATGAGATGGGTTATAGATTTTGAGCTCTTCTACCGGTACATCTTGCCTCTGACAGAGTGAAGGAACAGCAGAAGGATGATTGTGAAAACAGTTAAAAGCACTTTAACTTTTAACAATCATATTATTTTCTCAATAAGCTCCAAATAATTTTAAACATTTTTCTTGTGAAAGTGCTGAAATAATCTCTGTTATTTAGACCATGGTGTGTGTATCATCACACTCTAAGGTACCTGGAGTTTTTTTTTCTTTTTTCTTGACTCTAATGCATGAAAGAAGACTGCATATAATTTAAAAACATAATCCACATTATTTTCCTTACATGTTTTTTTATTTATCATCACAGTGTGCATCTGCTAGGGAAATAGGTCGAGATTTATAACATTAGCATCATTTGATGTGCAGAAAAGCTTTGAAATGATTGGGTAACATCCAACCTATATGTAGTTTTACCCATTGTTCAAAACTGCTTAATTTTTGTTGATGCATGGTTTCTGGTGATTTTCAGCCCTCTTGTGGATTTTTCTTGTCACTACCTGGGGTTAGAGACAATTAATTTGTGCTGTCTAATATTTTTTACTCTTTTTCTGTGTATTGATAGGCAACTTTGAGTTTTAGATAAGCTGTTTGTATGCCTTTATAAAAGGGTGAAACTCTACTAAAGATACAGATTGGACTTTTTTGTTTTCACTTTGACCTGCAGATATGTTTTCACTGCAGTTCCCAAGTATTCAAGATCACAACTGCATAGAATCACATAAAACTAATGACCTTCATGAAATATATTTGTTGTTTCTGGATATCTCATGTTCCAAAGCATCCATGTGCATTTTAGGATTCTTAGGTTTCTTTTGCATTCAGATGCATTTCCATTTACAGATCAAAAGCTTTAACTCATGTTGTTAAAAAGATCTGGGGACTTTAAGGGTCGGGGTATATTGTGGTTGACGCAGGATTTTGAGATTTGCTGCCGATTCAGTTTGTTTTAAACGCAGTTCTAAATTAGCAGCATTTTTCTACATGGAAATTACAATTAATCCGAAATTTGCTGTTAAATGTTTACATTCCCTAACTGCTCTTAAGTTTCACAACAGACTTGCATTTCTTCTGTTCAGTGTGAGAAATTAGTAATGGTCTGAAGGACTCCAGCTTGCAGTGTTGACTTTTATTTAGATGATCTGATTCTAGTTTCTTGGTTATACATCAATCTTCGAATGTTCAGGTGAATTGTGCATGAAAAACTTTCCTTAACCAAATATATATAAATATATATATTTATAATTCTCTGGTTTCTGTGCTTATTTATGCATCTAGTTGTATTGTGCTGGCTTGTAATGCATTTCCAACAATGTTGACTGGAAGTACAAATGAATCTCAGTTTGAAAAAAATGTTTTTGCTTTTAAGTATGCAGTTTTTGAAGTGTTTTGTGTTGTAAAAGTTTTTAGTTCTCATAGTTTTGTGAAGTTGAACCAGTGTTGTAAATACAGCATATTTTAAAGATATATTGTGTTTGTTTTTGTTACTCCTAAAATTCTAATTTACATTAGGATAAATATCTGTTCTGGTCCAGTTGGATCTATACAGAGAATTTCTCACATGTAGATTATTTACTCTTCAGGTGGCCTATTAAGGAAGCTCTTTGTGGTGGACTTTTAAGGGGTATCAGAACAAAGGTTGAACACAAATGCACACCACACTTCTCATTTTATTTTGAAAAAAAAAAAAAAAACAAATTATCTTCCTTCTGCAGCACAATTATGTTTTACTTTGCATTGAGCTATCACTCAAAAACATTGAAATTGAATCAATACAAAGAAAGGAGTTGTATGTATTTTTCTTTAGATGGATAAGGTGTTCATCAGCAAAAAACATTTTGAAGAATTCTATCAAACAGCTAATTACTAAAATAGTAAAAACCATCTGCCTTGCTGTTACAATAATCTTCAGGGTTTTATTAGAAAAGTTTTCACACAAGTCCATGACAAATTTAAACTAATTAAATTTCAATTTTGCTTTCATGTGGAATTTAATTGTTTCAATGATGTACAAATAACATGTAAAAAACATGTCTGCTCAGCGATACATCCATGATGATTTACATCATTTGTAACTGAAGTCATAATGCTTAAGCCTGAAAATATTGGCCAACAATCTGGTCATGCATGCAGTACTTTAATTTTACTGAACAGATTCTGGTTTGGCTCACATCCCCTTTCACTATATTTTTCATGGTATTTAAACCTTTGCAACACTCAGTCTGGCTGAGTGTGTGTTAACAGACCTATTCCTCCATGTCTATTCTCGACTCAAACGTCTCGCTAACTAGCTGAGTTTGGTGCAGCTCGGTGAAAGTCTCCCTCGTCTCACTGCGCTCCCTCTCCTCATTGGATGTCACCTCTTCCATCACGGTGTCCTGACAGGTCCCGACGCCTGGAGTTGAGTCGTTGGCGGCTTGCTGGCTGGCAGCCGGCTCTGAGCTGCACTCGGTGACATGAGCCTCGGTAGATTGAGTGGCTTTGCTCTCATCAGGATTTCCGTCGGTTTCCTGCACGATGAGGTTTCTGAGCTTCCTCTGTCTGGGATTGTAGTTCTCTGTGCGTTTGTGGATCTGAACGTGTCGTCGTAGATGTGCCTGCAGGATGGGAGATGTTGAACAATTGGTTCAGGAGAAAGAAGTAAGGTGTTTCTTTATCTGGATGCAAGGTAGTGTTTTCTGTATTCAGAGCCTGCCAGGCATTTCCAATTTTGATTTTTCTCTCTCAAATCTTTATTTAGACCCTCGTCAAGTATTTAAAATCCACATTCAGTGTGAAATCTTGCTTTTTACATTGCAGAGAAGAGGTCCTGATAAATCTTTTGCTAAAGTTAGACGTCTGATCAGGAAATAGTAATCTGAATGTTTACAAGTAGTTGCCTACAGGTTAATAATTAATTCTATTAAAGACTATCATTTAATTTTCAGGTTTGTTGTTTTGAGAAGAAATATATTTTTTGAGCATAGATCTCATTTTAATTCTTTTAACATTTTCTATGTTAAAATATCAAACTTTTCTGATATTTCATTGTAAGGAAAGAAAGAACCCAAGGAAGGAAAGAATGAAATAAAGAGAGAAACTACAAGAAAGAAAAAAAAAGAAGGAAAAATAAATCATTTGATATTTCTAAATGGAAGAATATCTGGAAATAAAACAATTTTTTTACATACATGCAGACAGTAGGAAATTTGTGTAAAATTATTGAATGCTACATTAGTTTTTATTCTCAACTAAACAACTAGAAAAACATGTCTTCAAAATATGTTCTGTTGATTAATTTCTCTAGTCCACAGTTCACCACTGTAGTTTTCTTTGTTACTTTTAAATGTAAATCTCCCATCTGTGTCATTATGTCTTTGAGTTAATTTATAAGCCGACCTGACGGGTGAACTTGTACCCGCAGTCAGCGCACTCAAACTTCCTCATGCCTCTGTGGCGCTGCAGGTGGACACGCAGTTGCTGCAGCGCTGAAATAGATGAAAGGAAACAAAACAGTTGCCACTTTTTTAATGAGATTCATTTTATGAACAGTAGCAGACTGATGAGGATGTGTCCTCTTGCCTTTGAATGTTTTGTTACACATGTAACAGCAGTGCGGCCGGCCCTCCTCGTGCTTGCTGGCCTTGTGTCGGAGCAAAGCACCCTTCTCGGTGAAGCGCCAATCGCAGACATCACAGCCGTAGGGTCGCTCACCGGTGTGTGTACGGTGGTGCTTATCCAGACTCGCTGGTATTAAAACACATATTATCAACTGCAGCAACTGGAAGCTCTTCTTGTCATCACTCTAATCTTTAACTCCCTCCAAAGATTGTATGAGAGATTCACAAGTAAAACTCTCTGTAGCTGTATCATGTCTCTGAGCTAATTTCTGACTTTCTGGTAGGAAGAACAATGACTGCTTAGTCATTCCTGTCAATTCTCACTGCATCTGTAGCTTTCAGTAAAGATGGCGTCTGTGTAGCCCTAACCTTGCGTCCTAAAAGTTTTCCCACAGAGGTGACACTGGTAAGGCCTTTCGCCACTGTGCACACGGAGATGCATGCTGAGGTTGTTCTTCTGGGAGAAGGCGTGGCCACATATGTTACACACAAAGGGACGCTCGTTCCTGCAGCAGAACAAGGACCACAGTGAGCTGTGAGTCTCTGTAAAAAATGGATGGCTGGTAAAAGTTGCAGCGTTTCTACCTGTGAATGGCTTTGATGTGCATCTGCAGGCCATTTCGACTGGAAGCTCGATGACCGCACTCCTCACACACAAATGGCTTTTCACCTCGATGCTTGGCTGCTTCGTGGACTCGCAGCTCGGTCCGAGTTAGGAAGGTTTTGGGGCACTGTGGACACTAAACACATCGTTTGTATGTTGTTAGTGTGCTGCTTCTACTCCCTGGACAATTTTGTAAACAACATGCATTTGATGGTATGATTAAGAAAAGAGTTTTTAGGAAAACTTGTAACTGTTGATATTTAGTTAATTATGTCACTTTTAAAGCAAAGTTGGGATCACAGAACTTTCATCTCTCCATTCCAAATACTCAGTTTTACTGTTTCAATTAAATACAAAGTTTACCAGTTTACTGGTTGAAGGTGACGCATCACAAGGTCTATACTCACTGCATGTGGTTTGGGATGCCCATGGACTTTCATCAGGTGCATCGTCAAGTTCTTCTTGTACATGAACTGTTCGTTACATGTCGAACACTTTAAAAAAAGAAAACCATCTTAATATAAATCCTGTTTATCATGTAACTTGTATACGTAAACAGCACCTTGTGTGGCATCTCTCCTGTGTGGGAGACGACATGCACTCGCAGCTCTTCCTTTGTGTTGAAGCTCAAGGAGCATGTGGAGCAGATGTACGTCTGAAATGACAGAATCACAAACAGTGACACAAATACGACCAGAACCACCCTGAAAAGGCTCTCTATGTTCACTCACTGACACTCTAGCGCAGCCTCTGCTCTCGTGCACAGACAAATTCTCCTTCCTGAAATACCTCTTTCCACACTTAGAACAAGCAAAGGGTTTCTCCCCTGTATGTCTCCTGCAGAAAACAAAAGTAAGAGGATATTCACTTGACAAGACTCCCTGGAAAATAACCATATTAACTTTGTACCTGTTGTGGACTTTGAGGTAATATTTGCTTTTAAAGGATTTCATGCAGACAGGGCACTGCGCTGAGCCTTTGTAGGAGCACTCCTCTACGCCATCATTATTCTTGCCGTTGTTTGTTTTACTCTGGAGTTTCCGTTTCTGTGCTGTAGATGCAGGCGGCGTTGCAGAGCCGGACTCAGCCGGAGGAAAATACTCCTCATCTGTGTCATCAACAATACCTTCAAGTTCACCCCCGTCATCATCTCCTGCCTCTCCCACCTCGGCTGCAGTTTCATCTGCTTCCTGGCAACCAGGATCTGTGTTGATCTTCAGTTCTACTACCTGCAATTAACACAATTCAGATACAGCTAAACATGCATGCATGTGATGGATATTTTTTTGGAGTTTGTGGCATGACAGCTGTATTCAATGTATTTAACTGGGATATTATGTGATACAGCAAGTGAAGTGAAAGGAAATGATGCATGGTTTTCAACTTTGTTTGAAAATAAAAAAGTGAATTGTGTGGCCTGGACCAGGTAAGATACTTAGGGAAAATGAGTGGTGTTTGACACCCTTGGTTTAGATCAAAGCATATTCTGGTATTGGAATGGCCAAGTCAAAGTCCAGACCTGTATCTAGTGGAGGTTTACAGATGCAAAGAAGTATGAGCAAATATTAAAGTTTCTAGATGCCCAAAATTGAGAGACACATTTGAGTGCTGCAACTGGTTCTGCTCCAAAATGGGTTCTGCAAAGTTTTGACTGAAGACGGAAAAATACAAACAGAAGACTCACTTTAAAAAAGGTTTTTGTGCAAAAAAAAAAAATTAAAAATTAACCCATGTATCCTTTTCTTCCCACTTCAGAATCATGTGTATGTGTATGCACTGTACCTCAGACTCAGCGGCTGGTTGATCTGATTTTACATTTTCAACACCACCTTCAGACGTCTCCTTCTCCACAGGAGTGAGAACAGCTTTGGGGTCCAATGTGGGGCTGGTATCAGCGGTGACCAGCCTCTTAGGGCCCTTCACTACTCGACCAGAGCGTGTGGTGGTGGTTGTGGGAGCAACAGTAGCATCCACTAATCTAAAACTGCCTGCAGAACTGGACTCTTCTGCCGGGTCCATCAGAGAGTTCTCCTCCTTGGCAGCATCTGTCTGACCTTTTTTGGGTCGACCTCTTTTCCGTTTCAAAGTGACAGAGTTTCCAGAGTTTACTTGGAACTGCTGACAGAGGGTGAGGGCTTCAGGCACACATAGGCTGGTTGCTGCTTGCTGCACTTTCTGCAGGTTGTCTACGTCCAGCTTCAGTTCTCCACTGTAGACGAAGGTCAGAAGCAGCTCTAGGCCATCGCTGGGGCAACCCTGCAGTTCAAACTCTGTGTGTTGAGTGGGATTTGAGACGGACACTTTAAATAGATCACTGAAGCAGGCTAGGACGTTGCAGTGAGCCTGGTAAAGCACCCCATCTCCCAAGTTAAGCACAGCATCACAGAATCTCCCTGCTGCCCTCTGCTGGTTCAGGGAGGAAAGAACGCGATGAGCATGACTGGTTTCTGCACCAGGCATCCTTTCTGCTTCCCTGCAACCACAAGAGGATAAACGTTTAACATATGGTATCATCAGTAAAACATTTGCAATAACTTGTTTGTTTCTTCACTTTTCAATTCACAATGTACACAAATGGCAGTAAAATTTAATTTTTGAGAATATCAGACATACAATCCCTTGTACAAATATTCATAAGCAATGAATTTAGCTTTACAAATCTAATTTTATTGTACATGTAGGTCAAAAGGTTCCAATATTGGTCTGACCAGAGAGCTTTCTTTCACATGATTGCGTTACTGCATGACTTGTGGAAAAAGAGTCATGGTGCTTGTTATGGCTAGATTTGTGGAGTGTACTACTACTATGAATTGTAATGTGGATAGATTCTCCGCAAACGGCACATAAAATGTTTCCATGTCTCCCTTGCATTTATTTAAATGTACCGATATAAATAAAACTGAATACAAAACACTTCTTATACTTTTAATTGTATAAATAATATAAACCATGTTTATTTTTTCTTCTGTGTTGACGTATCACATAAAATCCCAATAAAACACGTTAAAATTTGTGGTAATAATGTGAGAAAATGTGGAAAAGTTCAGGAGCCATGAACATTTTTGGGCTCTGTGCTTTCTGTATTGCTAATACATTTTTCAACCCACTGCATACATTTCCAAATTAATAGATTTGTAAAAATGCACAATGAAAATTATTGTTGTGATTTAACACAAATTTGAATTAGTGATAACTGAACAGTGTCCTACACGTCAAAGCACTCATATAGTCTTTCAATTGGCTCGTATTCAGCAGTTGAGTTGCTTCGGAATAAATAGACACCATTCCCAAACTGCGCACCTCCACGTTTATTTCTAGCACATACCTTTAAAGACGCTCCCTTAGCGCGTAACGCCTCAAACTGCAAGAACCGGACGCCTGCATCTACAGGACGATATTTTTAGCCAGTTTTAGCCTGAAGCCTCTGTTTTGCGGCATATATAATGGGGACAGCTAAGCGAAACAGAAAAACGCAGCTACATTAACCTTCTTTTCTATACTCGCAGGCCCACAAATGAAAAAGGAAGAGGATGTGACGCCGTTTAACTCCGGGAAAGTTTTTTGTTGCTTAGATTACATATTATGAAAAGAAACCTCATCCAAAGGAGTTAATTGCGATTTATGCTTCTATAAAAATGCTCATTTTAGCTCGGGAAAATACGCAATAAATCTATTTTCCAGTTTATCACTTGTTATTTTCAAATGAAAACTCTCCGAGAAATTTTTTAACGGCCATATTCCGACGTTAAATGTTTCGTTGCCTGACAACCAATCGCAACAGCGCGTTGATGCAGTGTGGGATATTCACACATGCAAGTTAGCCAACTAGCGGCGGCTAAATAGCAGAGCTCCTGTCCCTTAGTTTATTTACATTTTTGTTTTATAAACTTTGTCTATTTAGCAGGCGTGAGAGGTGTTTTTGACTTAGCTTGGCATCGTTTTCACCGTAGTTGGTGGTGAGTTAATCTTTTTTTATTTATTTGGAAAGCTTTAGCTTCAAGCTAATGCTTCTGTACACAGGTTGTGCTCCGTCAATGTTAGTAACTATTAATTCACAACAAATTGAAAATATAGGATGTTTAGTGATTGCATAGTTATTTTATTTGAGTTTTTTTATGCTAAAAACTAGCTCAATTACGGTTAAGTGTGTTCATCTTGCCTCCTTAAATGTTTTGCCACTTGAAGCTAGCTGAGGCTAACTTGCTCTGATAGTAAGATTTGTAACAAGGTTGACATCTTTAACATTTCCAGTAACTTCAGGCTCCTTCTGGGATCATTAAAAAAAGGGAGATAAATAAATGCAAGTCAGAATAGGAGCACTCTGAAAATAATAAATGGCACAAAAGTTGTCTCATTTATGGAGATTCACAAACTCAACAGAAATTCGGACGCTCATAAAAACCGGTTTTAGCCGCCCGTAATATATATATATATATATATATATATATATATATATATATATATATATATATATATATATATATATATATATATAAACAACTTTAGAAAGGCTGTATGATAAAACATTCACTTAAAACTGACGAAGTGGTACGAAAACTTAAATTTTGGAGTAACTTGTTTCTCTCCACTTACTGTAAAGTTGTGACAGAAAATAACAAAAATGGCTTAGTTTAAAATATTCTTATTTAATACGTTTCTATTTTTATTACCAAATAACAACTTAAATAATTATTTTATATTCTAAATAAGCTTGTGCTCAATCTGTTTATGTTTGATATTATAAATATATTAAACGTATAAAAAGCCACCTTGGCCAACAGGAGTATGCAAAATATTTTTTTCTTGAATGCCTTATAAAGACTTAGATTTATATAAACAGAATTAGTAATGTTGGGGAAAAATTGTGACTCACTCCAGAAGAATTAGTGCAACAACTGTTTTTTAAAATATTTTTCACTAAATATCTTCTCTATCTCTTTACTTTCAGGTTCCCTGCTTTAATTTCCCTGTGTAAAACATTACTGCATGTTTAGTACAAGATCATGAAGGTGAACAAAAACATCCAGGTAAAAGGTAAACCTCAAAAATGGAAAGATGTGAGGAGCAAACGGTGCAGATCCTCTATCAAGTCTTCAGATCTCAATTCTAGTCCTGTCATGGTTAAGATGGTAAAGGAGCACCAGGAATCTATGAAGAAAAAGCCCTCTGTGAAGAGGCTAAAAAATAAACCAAAAACTGTCTCTGAAAAGAAGAAAAACTCTCCATCTGGATTTAAGAAACCTGAGTCTCAAGCTAATGGGTGCTCAACATTCACCTTGGAAGACGAGATAAAAGACCTTCCAGACTTTACGGCGGGTTCTGAGTTGGTTCATATAAATGGTATGGAAACTTCAGAAGAGTCAGAGGAAGTCCCAGGGAGCAGACTGGAAGGGGAGGCTCTTCATCACTGTGCGCAAAGAGGCCACCGGCAAAACCGTGCAGTATTGGTCATGCAGAAAAATCAGGTATGCTTCACCAAAAATAATCCCAGATTAATTAACAGATACATCTTAACAACTTCTGTATTTAAGCATCCTGTTGACCTTCTTGCAGACACTGTGCTTCCGTGGGAAATGCATTGTGACCTGTTTGTACGGTCGTGTTGAAGTGATGGGATTTACTATTGATGAGGGTCAGAAGTCGTACCCCCTGTTCTCCCCAGCTTCACACTGCCCGCTCACTCTCAGAGCACTGGGACACACTGATTATGTCAGAGACGACAGAACAGAGGCTTCCAACATCCTTGAAGATTATCTTTCAGCAGGTAAAGTGCAGGTCTGTAAGAAGTAGCTAGTGTAATTCTAAGGTTTCAGAAAAACAAAAGATGAACCCGTCAGAATTTCCAATCTCTGGTTTGACCTCAATAAAGAGTTTAAACCAAATTTGACTTCTTCTTTGGAATTACAAAAGAAGATATAACAGGATTGTTTTTTTTTTTGTTTTAAATCTATTAAAGTTACAGCTTTAATAAATAATGTAAAAATAGCTAACTTAGAGTCTTTTTTATCTCACTAGCAAGCATCCAGATTAAACAGTATTATTTTCAGCTCATAGTAGAACTTGTGTATGGTGCATTTGTTGACAGAAACAGTTGGATTTTTGAGCTTCTGGCTTGTCAGACTCAAAATCTGCTGATTCTGGTCAAAAGTAAATTTTCTGAGGCATCTGAAAGTGTGGATTTTCATCATGAGATTCAGCACTGTGTTGATTTTCCTGAAACGGTTGGGCCGTTTAAAGCTGTTTCTCTCTAGGGGAGGCAGGTTTGATTATATAGCAAATTTTCAGCAAGAGGAAAATCAAAAGTACCTTACATGATTATGCCCTAAGCCATTTGAACAGTTTTTTTTTCTTTTTTGCAGCATCACGGAAAAAATTGGTAAAAAAGGTAACACCAACATCATCCATCATCCTCCTGGATCCTTTAGAGACTCCTTTGACACGCTTTCTGTCGAGCTTTACACACCTTACTGAACTGTTCAGTCCCCCTGTGGTAAGCTGGTGGATATTCTTCTTTCTTAATTCATGAGATTGTGTAGACTTTTGGCCACATTAGAAAAATTTTGATATTACTAATTATTTTCTTTGCTGTGGGTTTGTAGAGTGAAATAATGTCGTCTGTTCTTGACACTCCACTGAACGGTCTGGGTGTGATTCCACTTGCCAACAACATCGAGGGACTGAAAATATCCAGGAGCTGCAGAGATGCTCTTGGTACAGTTATCAATGCTTGCAAAGGTGAGCATCTACATGTCTTGTCTCTATTTCTGACCTGGTCCTTTTGGACTTTCAGACACAGAACACAAATGCTCTCTAAGAAATCTGTTAAATTTTGTTGCAGCTGAAAGTTAACATTGTTTGAAAAACTCTTCACACTCATTTTAAAAAGTGATTTTTCTCACCTTAGAGATGCATTTTGTTCAGATTCCTTTGTTGAGCTTTTGCTTAGTTTTTCACTGTATTCTCTTTGTGTTGTCTTGTTTATGCATTTTGCCTCTAACTATATCTCTTTAGATGCAAGAACTTCACAGGTGATGAGTTATAAACACATTGAAATTTTGACAAAAGTTATAATTTTAATGTTATGTGTATTTATCTGATAAATAATGAATGAAGAGCTTCATTATGATAATGTCTTCTTTTTATTTTGGTCTGTTGTTAAGGAGACATAGACGGTTGTGCTGTTATTCTTGTGTGTGGGGTCAAGAATGTGGGTAAATCAACATTTATACGGATCCTCATCAATACGTTACTGAATCAGTGAGTTTACACAACTCGTACTCGACTTTTTACGTGTGATAATTTCTATTTATAGGTTTATTATGTTGATAACATTAAAATTAAAAGATAACTGTTTCATATTATTGTTAACTATAGTACTTCCAATGTGGACTATTTGGAAGGAGATCTTGGTCAAACAGAGTTCACCCCTCCTGGTTGTCTGTCTTTGTCCACTGTCAAAGAGCCACTTCTGGGTAAGATGTTCTTTTCTCCATAATCTCTTTTTGCTTTATTTCATTTTTGGTTATTCTTTGTGTTCCTCTTTACTGATTTTCAACGTTAAACAATTTAATTTAGTGCTAAAAATCTCCTAACCAAAGGACCTAGCAACAAAGCTATTTCAAATGGAGTAAATCAGAGCACTCTGCCTGTGATGCATTTGGCGTCTTAAATTCTGCTGAAGTCCAAAGCAACAGCTTGAGTGAACAGCCAACTTGTCTCCACAAAAAGTGCAGAAAATTTAAGAGATGTATATCTGGATATTTTCTAGTATAAATGGAAGATTCAGGCTCTTTCCCTGTATCAGAACATTTCCAGGGTCCAGTCTCGATGCAGCCATGTTGCAGCATCTTCCTCAGTCTTTCAGATGTGTATTTTGGATCCCATTTTAGGCATTCATGACAAGTCAGGACCTGGGAAATGTTGCTCCGGTTCTAGAATAGAACCCGGTTCTACCACTTAAACTTTGGAAAACATCTAGCTGCTTATCTTCTAAATTTACCACTTACACCTTAGAGGACTTCTGTCACTTTTTGTGATGAATGTTTCACTTTATTATCAGAATTTATTTATTTTTATTTATACATTTTTAAAATATATTTATTTATTTATTGTAAAATGGCTGATCTTACAATTTCAGGAATCATTTTTCAATAAATATGGTAAATTTGCCCATTCTTCATAGAAGTGTTGACTTTTTCCCATTAGAAAATATCCAAGTTATATCTTGTAAATAGGAGAAAAAAAAATAAAAAGAATTTGGTGTTATTGTACTCTTCTGTGACCAGATAATCGTTTATTTACCTTCTTTATTGACTCAGATGAATTTTAAGTTTTTTTTTAAAATATTAATTAATTTATTAAATGTTTTGAAACTTGCCACACACTTGCTGCTCCTGCTGTGAAGTTTCTTGTGATCGCATCCTGAACAATCAGCTGTTGCGTCTGTGTGATTTTTGTCCAGGCAGCTTGATGCACTTTCAAAACCCTAAAATCAAAAGTGAA